TTTCATCATAATGGCAATAGGTAACTGTAACCGACAATTAAACATATCTACTTACAACGTGACGAAGTACACCGACTACACGCTATACGCGTGATAGATACGCGTTGAGCATTTTCTTCACTATAATAAAGATATCAAATACACGACCTTGCAGTGGGGTACAAAATAAAAAAATAAAAATAAAATCGTGATGTAAATAGAAAACATTATGAAATATGTATCATATCCAAACCATATATTATTATTAATGTAACGTATATAATATATTGGATAGTGTGAACGTTACGCGCAATGCGACGATGTTTTTTTTTTTTTTTTGTAATAAAATATTATATTATGTATAGGCGGATCTATTTACCATTAATGTGTTTCTAATAATACGGCTTTTCGGAGTTGATACACCCAACAATTATTTATTACAATTAGATTAACCAGTAAATTGAATAACACTTAAACAATAGAAATAATGATATTTATATGGATACACTATAAAGGCGTATAGGTGTTCCAAAGCCTTGACCATAATTTTATGTATCGTTTGTTTGTCTCGGGCGCTTCCTGATTCCATAATAATTATTATAATATGCTCAGCAATTATTTTATTATTAAATCGAAGACATCTAAACGAAAGCAGATTTGTTTGTGATTAATTGATTTCAGTAAATTATACTATGTTCACGCTGCAGCCGACTTATATGTAAAATATGAATTTAATTATACGTTATTTGTACATGGATTCGTATATTTACGAAAACTCCAATTTATTTGTAGAATTGTAATAATCGAATACTATCGACGATTCAAGATTTGGTCGAGTTAAAGTTATCGATTGTTAACGGAAGAAATAACGCAATTATTATAGTATTATAGTATGTATATATAGTAAAATGGAAATAGGTTTTTTTTTTTTTTTAGATTCTAAGCGTACTCACTGAGAAATTTATTGGTACCGCTGTAAATTTGTTTTATTATTTTTTGTCTATAAACGACTTTTCTACCAGCAATCTTGCGCCAGCCGAAAAACAACAAGACGTTTTTAGTGTGGCATCTTTGCAGTGTAGTTTCGCTTGGAAACTGGACAGTTATTTTGGATTTTTTTTTTTTTTTTTATTGTAGTTATTGTTTAAAAATAATAGTAGAAAGATGAATTTATTACAGACACTTATATCAGCATAGACGTGGTGAAATGTTCGAATTTGTATTTTTAAGCTATTTGTAGGCATTTAACATTTTTTAATTGTTTCAGTTTTTATTTGCTCTTATAGTGAATACAATCGTTCGGCCGAACATAAATATTTGTCAGCTTAAAACAACTAATTATAGCTGCACTTTATGGTAAAAAAAAAAAATTAACGTTTTTATAAACGGGTAAAACGTTCAAATTTGGAGGGAAATCGTAAAAATCACATCATTTCACGTACTATGTTTCGAGTTACGAAGGTATATTTTTTTTTTTTTATAATTGACCACAAATTCGTCATACATGATATTTGTTATTAAAAAAAAAAAAAGATGTTGTTGCATCGTTGATAAGTGTCCTTTGTGCACTGTTGTAGTTGAGAAGTTAGGATACATAAAGTTATTTCGTTTAGATATGTCTATAACAACGATAAATCAACGTGGATGAAAAACAATTCTAAGCAAATTTTGATTAAACGTGTTTTTAAATATCGGGGCTTTCTAAGATTTTCATCAAAATATGTAATTTAAATGATTATGCAAAAAATGGCCACATTACACTGATTTTTATTTTTGCCGTCAAATACAATTTTTGGTAAACCTCGCATTAAATTTTCAAACAATTTGCTTGACTTGGCCAAAAAATTATATTCACATAAATCGAAAAATAATATTTGAAATGTCGTAACTTAAAACGCGAATAAATACCTACCACATTTTGTTCAACTTTTTTGTTACCACTAATTACAACTTAGGACGAACGTTGTGTACAATTTTAAACAATATGCTGGTAAGCATTTTTTGCAGGGTATATCAATAAATTACTGAAACGACAACTATTTATATTACAAATCACTTGAACTTTTTGAGATGACAGATTAAAATCCTATTTATACTTCTATGAGATTGTCTTCAAGTAAGAATAATAGAGATACTACTTTTAAACGCTACAAATATATAGTCGGCTGTTTAATGTATTTAACTACGTTAAATACACTGCAATTAACGCATTCTAGAGGCTGATATATGTTATCCTGTTATTTATGTAAGTCAAACACATACGCAGGGGAGTATTTTGGTGTTTAAAAACCCCCCGAAATGTTTGATTTTTCTATGATTAATTACTTATTCCATTTTAATGTTATATTATTATTCTAATTTTCAATTACTGATTTTCAAAAACATCCCCCAAATCTGCGTACGTTCCTGATATGAATCAATTTCAATAAAATCCACTGAAGAGAATACTAAGACATTCAATGAGAACCAAGGATATTGGACTAAATTTTGTAAAAGGCGTCTCTCGTTATTTAACATGTTATTGAAATTAGAATTTAGCAGGCGATATTAATGATCGCAAGTCCACAACTGGATACATTTTTAAAGTGTTTGGTTCATTAGTTTATTGGGCTAGTGGTAAACAAGCTACAATAGCATTATCATGTATAAAAGCGGAATATGTCCATTTCTTTAAGAGGATTATCAGGAGAAATGGATCTAAAACTACCTAAAACTCAAATATTTGAAAACATTTAGTCATATATCAAATTAATTAAGGCGTCTAGAAAACATCATAGATTGAAGCATATAGATGTGAAATTAAATTAAACACAAGACATTAGAAGAACGATATCAATACTGTGGAGTATATTAAATCGGAGAATCAGTTAGCAACGGTGACGTCATTTAGGAGATTCCGACTATATGGACTATAATATATACTTTGACAGCCCTATTTTTTTAAACGTAATTTTTGTCTACGTAAAAACGTAAAATGTTATTAATCTGCTGTTGTCGATAAAATACATAATTCAAAAAATAATATAACCACTGCTAATAGTGGCCTCTAACAGAGTTTAGTCGTCTGAAATTTGGAAGTGAGATACAGATGATTGTTTCGATAGTTAAATTAACAGACATACCAGCAAGATAACAGTGCGCATCGCTACTAATTACTTTTTACTTTACTTCACGTGATGTAAATTATGGTACAATGAGTTGCTTTATGGAAAAATAATTTACGGCCATAGTTTAGTATCGATGTTATTTTAATGCCAAATATTGAAATTTAGTTTCTTAATTTTTTTTTATGAAAAATATTTGTTATTATTTGTCAATGAACAAATTTCAAATTTGAAGTGGGAATACGAATACGAAAGTGTGGACAATTTGTTCAATTTCATGAAATAAACAGCGTGTATAAATGGGCCTATTGAGGAGAGAGGGTTGGGAAAATTGGCCTAATTCAAATGTTTGCATCATTATTTAATAACCGAAATGGCGCCCCTGGCTGGCAGACATTTTAATCAAACCTTTAACTAAATTATCATTTGTAAATTTAAGAGCTAAATTAGATTAAGAGTATTATAATATGTGTGTAAAATGTTATAATAATGTTAAATTATTTTTTTTTAATTTTTGTTATTATACACCCTAGTATCAAATTTAGAGGAAGTGTTAAATTATAAGATAATATTTGTTTTTAAATATAACAAATTATATTATGTTATCTTTTTTTGTTCTTCTTCTGTGATTTATCCCACAAAAATATAACATTGTAATATTTCCGGAGATAATAAAAATAATCAAATTCAGTTCTTTTTATAATACTCGCAGGGATAAGGACTACAAATATTTATATTTGAATTCAATTTTTATGTTTTGGTAAAAAAAAAACTATAAAATTAACTGTTATTTTTTATTTTCATAATTTTTAATAATTTTTTAAAGTTTTTAAAAGTACCTATAATTATGCAGCAGATTGTAATCACATTCGTTAATTGATTATTATTATTATTATTATTATTATGGCTAATTGACTGTATACTTTTTTTCTCTGTTAATAAAATAATATAAAAAGTTATTTTTCTAAGTTTTTTACCAAAGCAACAAATTAATTAAAATACACATATTTGTAGTCTTTACCTCTGTAAGTAGTAGAAAAAAAAAACCAGAATTTAATTATTTTAGTTTCGGGGCCATTACAATGGGTATGTCTTCGTGAGACACCCTATATCTCTACCATTTTTTTAAATAAACATTTATTTTTGTTTCTGAACTCTTTTATTAATTTTAACAAGATCTATATGTTACAGATAACACCAAAAAAATCAACTGACCTAAACAATAGATAAAATAAGCTCATCTTAAACTCTTGAAATTTCTTAGTAAGTCTTTGTTACAAAAATAAATGTATGAAACATTATATTATTGTAAAAAAGATTTTCTCCAAAATAGCTATCTTTAACAGTTCAGTAAAATTTACTATTAAATGGAGAATATTGATTTGAAAGTTGGTGGATTTTTAATAGTAAAATTTAATATTATCTATACTATTTCAAATCTACCAACTTTTAAATCGATTGTTTACATATATAAGGGAAAGGTTAAATTTCAGTTTCACTGAAATGTTAGAGAAAGATATTATATAAGAAATTTATTTTATAATGATACAATTTTTAGTGAATTGATGTATGTTAAAACTTCAAAAAAATTAACGTAAAAACCTTTCCTTTTTTATAAACTTCAACCCTTTTGAGGAAGGGTTGACTTATGATACACAAAATTTTTATAAATTATTTTTATAATGTACCTAACAGAATTCCAAGCCAGCCAATTCAAATATTTTACATTTATTTTCAATACCTATAAGTTAATGATCACCCTAATATTTAATATATATATCCACTGCAAATAAAAAAAAAAACAGGATTAATTCGGAACCCCTAATAAATAATATTGAATAAGTAAAATCCCATTTTAATATGTATTCAACAATAATAATACAATTATCATGATAAAAAACAAATAAATCAAAACTTGCTCTCCTTAAAATTAAGCACATCTATTCATTATAATATGTCATGACAATAATATTACGATATTGTAGTGGAAATGTTTGGATTTAAATAATGTGATGGTCATTCATTTTGAAGGTCGTTTCTGTTCAGTATATTTTATCCTAATTGTTAAAGTAAGGGCATATTATAATAATACCAAACTGAAATTATTATGAATTATTGACACATTTTCCATTTTGTGTAGGTAAATTACATATATAAAGCATTGATACTGCTCAATTATTAGTGAACCAGCAATTATTTATAGCTAATGTAATTATTATTTTAAGAAGGATAATTTTTATTGTATCATCTATGCACAACGCACAACATACATCATATAGTTACACATTAAAAATAAGGAGATGTTTAATATGGAGTGGAGAGAGAAGAGTTTAAAAGGAGAAAGAAAATTATTAATAAGACAATAAATACATAATAATCATAAACATTTCTATTTGTGATATATTGTGTATATTGTGTTATTTTTACCTACCAACATAATAAAATAGAAATCATATAAATAAAAAGACGGACATACTTCGCACAATGGGTGGGCCACTATTGTAGGTGAGAAGTTGAGAATTAAGAGCAAATTTAATGTATATCTGTAAGCAACGATAAACCATTGTTAATGAAAAAGCGATTCTCAGCGGAATTCGGTAAATAGTATTACTTTGTCAACAATATATATATATCATATTATGGTAAAATAATTACATACGCATCATATGTTTTCTTTAATAATATTTATTTAATATTGTACGTATTTTCCTATTTTTTCTACGTTTTATCCCGGTTTTTCTAGTGGATTTTTCCGGTTTACCCAATTTTATGAAAATAGCTGGAAAAATAAAAAATGACCTAAAGCAGCACCTTAAAGGTGCCATACATAGCAGTTGGAGCAAAATTGCTGGTAGAAAAATTGTCCACAGAAAAAAAAAATACAAAATAAACATCATTGTAAAACCAATACATTCCTCGCTCCGCTCAGAATCTAAAACAGTAAACACGAATGGAGGATTATTTACTTTATTTCATATTAATACTCGTCTTTAATACTTGCTGTGAAATAACAACATACAGGTAAATTAATTTGGTACTACATAGTTGGCTACTACGTGCTGTGTGTGCTATAAAACATAAAAATAGCCCTTGGTACGTTGATAGTAATAATTACAACTAAGACATCATTTAGGTTTAGTTTAAAAAAAATTATAATAATAATCATGGTTTCGTCAAAATAAACAGATCAACAATCGTTACTCAAGCGGTAAAATGCAAAACTAAAAAAAAAATGTATTTTTAAAAAAAAACTAGGAAATCTATATCACAACTTTCCATTACCTACATCGAGGTCGTTTTGGTTTCAAAATTCCTCTCAGTTATGCAAAATTGTAAACTAATAGAATAAACGAACGAGTATTAAAAAAGAAAAAGAGATTTCCCCCCTTTTTCTGACGATAATAATTTCAAATTGAGACAAAATGTCTTATACCAGCACGGCGTTAAACTTTTTCAACCTTGTAAGAGTGTCTAATCTCTTTACCTGTATGTAGGTGCTCATTTAAAAGCGTTTATTTATTTTTTTTATTTTATGATATACAGAGTATATTGGTATCCAAGGATTCCAGGAAATAATAGCTTAAACCGTATACCTAATACCTGTACATGCACGTTTATAGTTAACCCGTGATGTCTTATAAACGGTTTCTATTTTTAATAAATTAATCGTATTAAACACACGGCAGTCACGATTGTTTAATTAATAGTCTCTTTGGTTAACAGTGATTTCCAAAATTAATTTAGATACTACTGAAAATATAATAACGGTAAATCGTAATATAATAATTAATTGTATTGCATATTATAAAATATTATACTTTGACTACACAAATACTGAAATACCACGTTATACTCATAGATAAAATATTACTACTATAGTTTAAAATATAATATGTAGGTACCCTAAGATACGTTATATCAATCAATATGCAGGTACGCAACATAGTAATTTCGTGTTACCGTGATAGTAACATATTAATTTTTGTTAATTGAGTATTAGTTTGATCGTGTACTTATTATGGAACTAGCTCTGCTCAATCTTCTGCTAACTACGGAACCCGTTCTTCTGGGTCTCCTTGATGCCTTCTTTTTTTTCTTGGACGACGATTGGTCATCACCTTGTTTGAACTTAAACATGTTGTACAGCATACGTATCATCACAATCATAAATAGAAGAAATCCAAAACCAATGCACAGCATCACAGTAATCGTGTGATACATATCTTTTGTCTTTGGATGTTTTTCGGAGTTTGGTAGAAATTGCCAAATCGGCGACCAATCATCGTCTTCCTTTGCGACAGTCGCTTCTTCCATCGTTGAAGCCACCGTAGTAGTAGTTTTGGTTAGTTTCGGTTTGATTTTGTGTGATTGACCGCACATGGCCGGACGATCAAATTTAGCCGTACGTATCAAAGTAGGCAAATATACATTTTTAATAAAGTTCAATCTCTCCCCATTTGTCATCGTAGAAATCTATACAGATATATATATATATATATATTTACATAAATATATATAGTCTACATAAATACATAATGTAGATATAGATATCAGTAGTTTAACAACATAATAATTATATATAATAGTTATTCCAAATCAGTACTACAGATTTGGCAAAGAATTGCGGGTGGAGAACCATTTTAGGAAGGAATGCTTCAAAAAAGATTTACATAATTCGCACAATAGGTGAGCCACTGTTGTAGTCGAGAAGTCGGGAAGATATAAGGGAATTTAATCTGTACGCAACGATTAATCATTGCTATCGAAAAACGAGTCTAAACAGAGTTTAGTTATACATATTTTGAAAGGCCATAATATTTACGATTTTCGTAAAAATTTAGTATTAAAATTCTTATAAAATAAGATTCTACATCATACTCAATTTTTTTTTTCTGGCCACTTATAATACCTCTTGTTAAATTTTCAAGCATTTCTATAGGGTCTAACAAATTTATCAACAGAGTACCTACCGAATAAAAATTAGCAAAAAACTCGCAAAATTAAAACGTATAAAATAGCTTTAAAATGATTCAAATATTTTAAAAATTTTACCACGTATATAAAAGGTAAATATAAGTTTTTTGTCCAAATTTTAAGTCTCTACAATTATTTTTAATTGAACCACGACAAAAAACAAAATTGAAAATAATAAAAACATTATTTTCTTAAGCTTTGTCCGTTTTTTCTATGTTTTTTCTTCCGGTTTTTCCTAATTACATATTATGAAAACCACGGCATTGATCGATAGAATATGAATATCATTACTTTTATGTAAAACTTTTTGTATAAATTTGCATATTTTAAATTTTGTGAGAACCTTTGATGTTAAATTATTAAATCCGATGTATTATTGTGATCGGTGTATACCTATAGTGTAAACCAATACACTATTGTTTATACAATAGGTAAAACGGAAAACTCTTTTTGTGTCTATTCCGGGTCCCCCATTAATTCAAGTGCCATTTATAATGGTTAAATAACATTATTACCAATTCTAACTGCTTTGTGATCGTGTTCCACAGATATATGCTAACGTGATGTGTTGTTTCCATTTGAAATCGAATTCGTTTAGGTCCTTCAGGCCCGTTTATTATTGTCGATGCTGTCCTTAACATTGATATCCATTCCGTGGCTGGCATTAATTGAAGATTACGGCAAACCCCTGTAGAATCTATATTATACTTGCATTTCTGGTCTAATGACATTTTCAATGCGTTTGCAAATAAATGTACTGAATACATGATCGGCATAACTGTTGAGTCCAACTCATCTTCAAGAGAATCCTATTAAAACACGGTTACTCAAAAAAAATCAGCAGGGCTTTAAATAATAATTACCATACCAAACACATTGGATCATTATTGCAGTTTCTTTTATGCATCCGAGTTTGTTCGTGGTAACTAATAAGCAGCGAATTATTAAAATACTGTTTGATGTCATTTCTGACTTTAAACTCTCTGTGAAATCATGTATTATTTTAAATTTACATAAACGTATCAAACAGAAATACTTACGTGGCTTCTTGCATAACGACCATTGTCAAAGAATTAAATTTTGGCAATTCCCATAGTTTCAACCCGACAAAAATTATGTATACTACAAACGAATGTTGTTGAACATTAGTACTAGATGATAAAATCTTTAACAAAGGTTTAAGAGCTTCTGGTTTTTCAATAATTAAAAGTACGCCATCAAACGCTGCATGTTCTTGGTCTATATAAAATTCATCATCGATATAATTAAAAAGCGTACAATAAAACAATCATAGTACATATGGATATCAAAGGATAGTAGACTTTAACATATTTTTAGCGCCTAAACAAAATTTAACACTTTAGGCAATTTCCTATATTCCCTACATACGTTGATCCAGTCCTGTCCACAAACCTGACCAAATTACGCCACTGTCAGTATTAACAAGTAGGTTATATAAATATGAAATGTATAATCTTACTTTCCATTATTTCCTTGTAAATAATTGTATATCCGTTCTCTGATTTAGGTAAAATGATTGGTTTTCCAACAGCACAAATATGTCCGTCCGACAAATCAACAAGTGAATCGAATAAGCTAAAAGTTTGAATTGAATCTTCTACTACCGGTTTATAACTTTCCCAGCCCAAATTCTTCATCATTGTAAAAATAGCCTAATAAAAACAAATATGGTTTATATTTCAAAATCGATCATCACGATGAATCTAAGAAAATATGTTTGTATGTACTTTCGCTCTAATACCAGTTTGATCTGTACCAATAAAGAAAACGTTTACAGGCTTTTCTTCACTTAAATCAATTTTATAGGGCAAAACGTGTGTTTTATTTAATAAAGATGTAATTTTTCGCAGGTTGATGAAAAGCTCTAAATCGTCTGGTCCTACGTAACCTAAATTATTTGAATTAAATACCATTAAAAATTGTATAGAAATATTACTTATTTGCTTGATTTTTAAAATGAAATTTTATACTATTATTCTTATATATATCGAACCTAAAAATAATGGTGACTTAATGCACGTTTGTTCAGCAGAAACTAATCCTTTCATAGTGACTTTTACAGCTTTATTCAAATTAGAACAAGTGTCCAAAATCTGTAAACCTGATAAATGAAATATTAAACAAACAAATCATAAATGGCACTTATATTTATTTAAATAAAAACAAATCTAACATACTGATTTTTACGTCACCATATTGATTTAGATCAGCGTTTATTTTACTAAGTCCGTATTCCAAAGCGGCCAACTGCTGAATACCTCTAATTTGAGTTTCTGAACATTCCTCGCCTGAATGCAATGGCAGAAGTGCGCTTAATACTACAGAGTCTTTTGAATTTTGTTGATTTTGACATATCGGTAACGCAAGCACACCGTGTAAAAATAACGTGAACCACCAAATCTAAAATGAATTATAGAGCAATTATAAGTTACGTACGTTTAAATATTATATTATATTCACACGTACAATCATTATTTCTTATGATATATTCAAAACAATTTGTCCACTAGAACAATATACCTATCAAATAAAATATTCTACATATTATTACGTGACTCTAGTATGAAAATAAAGAGAGTTCTGTATTTTGAGGATTAATAGTAGTGTTCTACTTTGTAAATTGGATTACATATGTGTAATAGTATTATTGTTTGGCTTCCTAATGTCCTTCGTCCTGATATATCAATATTAGATTTTAATTATAAAAGTAAGTTACTTGTGTATTTTTTTTTTTTTAAACACACATCAAACTGTTGAATGGACATTTTGGAAAATTACAAATTAACAATTATTAAAATATTGATAGTTACATTTTATTTATAATTTTAAAAAAATGTCCTAGGATAATGGGGACGAGTGTAGCTACTGATATAGGTAATATAATGTATACCTGTAAGCAACGATAAACCATTACTCACGAAAAAACGATTCTGAGCGGAATTCAGTTGATAGTGATGCTTTGTCAACAATATATATGCCATATTATAGTAAAATAATTAAATAAACTTTAAAAATTGTATTTAGTAATATTTGTTTAATGTTGTACCAATATTCCTAATTTTTCTAAGTTTTTCGCGGTTTTCCCATGTTTTATCCAGATTTTTCATATTTGTTGGGAAACCTCTTGGAAAAATCAAAAAATTACCTCTCTGAAGTACCTCCCTAGTAAAATTTCCATTAAAATTTGAAGCAAAATTGCTGGTAGAAAAGTTATCCATAAGAAAAAAGAGGGCCATATTATTTTTAACTAATACTTACATTTCTCATATTTCTTGTTTTTTTTTTTTTTCGGTTTTTCACATTTGTTGAAAAAACTCCAGAAAAAATCGAAAAACAGCTCCTTTAAAGGACTTCTCCAGTGAAATTTCATTTTAGAAAAATTGCTATCATTAAAAGTTGGAGCAAAATTACTAGTAGAAAAGTTGCGCACAGATAAAAAAATGTAAACATCTTTGTAAAACTATAAGCTGCATCGGTTCACTCAGAATCTAAAATGTAAAATAATGAAATCGTAACGCCGTAAATTTGTCAGTTTTCATTTTACTACTTGTAATTGAAAATTAAAAAACGACTTTCTTTGTGAGCATCTAGATCCAAAATTAAAAAAAAAAGTTCTCTTTACATTTTTTGATTAAAGCAATAAATCTGGTAGAAAACGTAGTTTACACAAATTAAGAACAATGGAATCGGTAACGCCGTGGAACACTGCGCCGTGAATACTTGCCGTTTTACCTATAATTTTGTTTCTATTTTTTACAGATTATTTTGAAACCTCTTGGAAAATCAAACATTTTCTTTTAGTAAAAGGAATCCACATCAAACTAAAATTTCTTTTCAAAAAGTTGTTTACAGACAAAAAAAAAAATACACATCATAAAACCAATAGGTGCCTCGCTACGTTCCGAATCAAATAGCATAAGTAAATCCAGGAGTGACACTTTATTATTTAAATAAACAATAAATATTATTTTATGGTTATACTCTTAAATAGTAACTAAGTACCTGGTCGATGGCTGATGACACATATAAATTTTGGTTCAATAAATTTGATTCAATAACAATTACTTGTCTTACTAGATATGTTCTTACTATCTAGATATTCGTGTAGCGAGTGGTATACTACCTATTTCAAAATGTTCTACGTAGGAGCATATTTAACACGTGTAAATGTGGAGACTAGGTGAAATCGCAATAATGTTTACCAATTGACTCCGCTGGGTGGACATTTTTTCCTTCAATAATCTTCTATTCAATTTAAATGTAAAAGAAAACATAAACTTACGCATATATTTTTTTTTTCAGAAAATAATCGGATCCTATACATCGGTGAAAGATTTCTGGTAGAAAAGTTTGCACAACAAATCGAGAGGTATTTGCCGATTAAAATAGTCCAAGCGAGCGATATCTGGGTCTCTAGGTATACCTAAAATGCATTTGTTTTTTCCCTGTTAAGTTAAAAGGGGAAAAAATAAGAACAACCAATTTATTTTTTTTAAACACGGGTTTGAACTCGTGAACCTTAGGATGAAACTAGGTATATATAACCACTCGGCTACGACAAATATACCTTAAAGATGATAATATTAAGTTATTTAACATAACATATCATATCAGAACTTCAAAAACTATAATTTCGAATCTTAGTCAGTCCGCTCAATTCTGACTTCATCACCGTTTCTAATCGGCAATATGCAAAAAAAAAAAAAATTATATTTGTTCTACATATTTTTATTTACCATCAGAGTATTTACCGAATAAAAATTACGTACAAAACTCGCATAATTAAAATATATATAAATAACTCAATAATGACTAAAACTTTTTGAAAATTTTACTACTTTTGAAAAGGAAAACATAAATTCTATCCAAAAGTCCATAGAGTCAATACGAATATTTTTAACTAAATTTCAACAAAAATAATAAAATTTGTATAAAGAACATAATAATGGCTCAAATGATAAGGTAAATATAAGTTTTCTGTCTAAATTTCAAATCTCTACACATATTTTTAACTGAAATACAATAAATAACAAAATTGAAAAATAATAAAAACATTTTTTTCATATATTTCCCGTTTTTCTTACGTTTTATTCTGGTTTTTCCCAGATTTTATAAAAACCGCTTGGAAAATCAAAAAATGACCTACTAAAAGTACCATCTTAACAAGATTCACTTTCAGAAATGGTGCCACTTGTAAATATCTGAGCAAGATTTATGGTAAAATTTTTGTACACAGTATAAAAAAATAAAAAAATAAACATTTTTCGCTATACTCAGAATCTAAAATCAATGTTAAAAAAATATTTATATTTTTAATGAAAAATAAATAATCCTACGGTTAAACGTCGTACTTAGTGGTCAAAAAAAATTGAGTATAATGTAGTATTTTTTTTTTAAATCATAATTTGACGAAAATCGTAAATATTACGTCCTTCAAAACATGTATCACTCATAATCGTTTTTTTTACAGGTATAAATTAAATAACTTTATGCAGTCAACTTTCCCAACTTTCCACCTAAACAAAGGGCCACACCTGTCATCATCTTTAGATTCTGAGCGGAGAGAGGAATGTAATGGTTTCACAATGATATATTTTTTTTTTAATCTATGAACAACTTTTCTACCATGAATCTTACTTCAATTTTCAAGTGTAGCACTTTTTTTGAAAGAAAATCTAACTAAGGTGGTACTTTATGGAGGTTTGTTTTTTGGTTTTCTCAGGAATTTTCCCAATAAATGGGATAAACCGGGAAAAACGTAGACAAAATGGGAAAATAGATACAATATTAAACAAATATTATAAAAGAAAATATATTAAGCATATTCAATTATTTTACCATAATATAACATATATATCGTTAACAGAGTAACACTATTAATTCCGCTCACAATCGTTTGTCGTTAACAATGATTAATCGTTGCGTAATTAATACATTCAATTTATCCACTATCTTCCTAAATTTTCACCTACAATAGTGGCCCAATCACGTGCGAGTATGTCCGTCTCTTTTTTTTTTTTATAACTATAATAAGAATTTTTAATTATTTGCTATTTCATTTTATTTAAATAAAATATATGTAACAATTTTGGCAACGTCATTTCTAATGTCGAGCGCAGCAATCGTATGTTTTTGAAGGGTCAAAATCATGGTCTTTATTATTCTGGCTTCACGCACGATTATGTATCCAAAAAGATAAAACGCAGGTAATTATACTACACCAAAATATTATGTTTAATTTATATTTATAATTTGTTATGCATTATATACTGTTGTGTTATCGTTATAATTGTTTTTTCTGGAATCTTATTGACAAGAGTAAGGTTATCATCCAACTGTATTTATCATTCAATATATTATAAGAGGCACTAATCCAGTTTCTTATGAGGAAGCGAAAATATTTTATGAGGCTAATTTTCCTCCTCTATGTCAAGCTCTATACCAATTACCGTTAAAAACAATCCCGTAGACTAATTAAAAAATGTTTTCTTGATATTACACATAACTGTATTTTATATATCTAAATTATATAAAAAATGAAACAGGAATGTACGGAAATTATGTATAATATAATATAACTAAATTATTATGGAACTATTATCAGAAAGAAAAAAAATTGATCAGATTTGAAAAATCTTAAAATAATATAGCTAGCAAAAAATATTATATACTGATAAACAATATAGTTATAACAATACGTATATAATACAATTTATTTAAGTTTTAATCTTACGATTTTATATTTTATTTTTACTTTTTATTTTTTGCATTACTTATATTCACAAATTAAAATAATTTATCAATACAATTTAAGCCGTAAAACGGCTTAACACTTACATTATAATTGGGCTAGTTATAGTTCAAAATTGCAAGTAGGTGATAGTGCACACCCTGCCACCCTCAAATGGCACCCTTGCAATATACTTATATTTTATTTAGCAATATATAGAATACTCGTTATATGACTAGAACATTGTTTCAAGTTTATTTATTTTTCATGATTTCAATATATAGGAGTATTTCTCTTTAGCTATATCACAATAATATAATTCTTGGATATCAATATCGAATAGGCAATTATAGATATAAATTAATTTCCTCTTTATATCCTACCTCCCCAACTTCTCACCAACAGTAGTGGCTGCACCCGTCTGTCTCCATTATCCTAAGACAGCTTTTTTTTTCGAAAAACGTATTTTTCTAGCACTGTAAGTAGTTAAATGAAAATTCGGGCTTCAATCGTGTGACTTGCAAAAAGTTCTCTTCTTTAAAATAAAAAAAATGATCAAAATATCGTCTTTTTTATCGCAAAATGTTGAATCAATTAAAAAATTACATTAATACTTTTTTATTGGTTTTAGGATCTAGTTAGTACATTGACCAGGTCATTTTTTGATTTTCCACGGGATTTTGACAATTATTGGGAAAAGCCAGAAAAAATGTATGGGAAAAACCGATAAATATTTAAGGCACGTCACGGCGTTACCAAATTAAATATTTTTAATTTTTGTGAATTATGTTTTCTACCAGAAATCTTGCTTCAATCAAAAAATACCAAAGGATCTTTTTTAGTTTGTTTCAAAGGTATTTGGTGAATAAGTAAGTAATTTTCTAATCCCTTTTTTTAATAATTGGGAGAAACTCGAAAAAATTAGAAAATACAGGAAAGTTTACGGTATTAATTGTTTCATTATTTTCGATTTTGTTGTTTGTCGTTTTATTGGTTTTATGATTTCAATGATGTTTATTTTTTATATATATACTGTGTACAACATTTTATAAAATTAAATTTTATCTAGTTGATGCATTCACGAGGTCATTTTTAGATTTTCAAAAAGGGTTTCTAAATAATTGGGAAAATCCAGAAACAAAATTATTGGTGAAACGGCAAATATTTAAGGCCCAACACAGCGTTAACAATTTCACTGTTTTTAATTTTTGCAAACTTTATTTTCTACCAGTAATATTTCCTTAATTAAAAAACTCCGAGAGATGTTGAATTTTCGATCTAGATGCTCACGAAGAAATTATTTTTTCGATTATCCCTGTTTATCTAGTTTGTACTTTAAAAAGGTCAGTTTTTGATTTCCTAAGTGATTTTTATAATAATTGGAAAACCCGGGAATAAACATATTGAAACATGTACAACCGAACTCCACACAAAATCGTTTTTCGTAAGCAATAATTAATCGTTGAGTACAGATATACATACAATTTCCCCTCCGGCTTTCCAACTTTTCACCTACAACAATTGCCCACCCATCTTACGAAGTATAGAAGTATATCCTTTTGTTTTTAGATTTTTGTCTACTACAATATTATGTAATTTGTTATTAACACGACTGGTGTAAAAAGAAAATTACAACAAAAAACCTTAAGTTTCAAACGCAAATGATATACATAAAACACAAAATGAAAACATATTAAACACTTTTTATCCATTTAAGCAATAAAATATTGAAACAGCTGTTTTAACGTGACAACGAAACAAGTACAAAATCAACATATACTAGATTTATTAAACAGTTGCCCTACTCGAACATAACTAAAAATATAAATAATTTCCAAAAATCATTTATTTATACAACTACACAAAATACAAATGCATAGAATTAAAGCTGAAAACAATTCCGGATTGGAATGGAATAAAACGTACACGTATGGTTCAACACATAAATGTGAGAAGCCTTCTTACCGTTTAAACTTATTAAGCAAAAGTTTAGATACCGAAAATATAAAAATGAAACATGAGTCAAGAAATTCACCTCATTGCAATAAACATAGTCGAAATTGCATAAAATCTAAGCAAACAAATAGTAGCCGTTCAATAATGAACAATCAAAGTAGTGCATCAAATCCATATAAAACATCATTGAATGATAGTTCAAATTACGATTGGACATTGTCAAATGATGAATTGTCAATGGATCAAATTGATGTACCAATTTACGATAATACACCTAAAATTTCACGTTATCAATATGATCGACCATATAGCTACAGGGATAGCCGAAACGATTATCTTCCTTATGTTAGATCTACTAATCGAAACTCTATAAAAGATAAAAATATTCGTAATGATGGACGACATCATACCAACGGGGAACAAGGATCTTGTCATAAACAACCAAATGTGTCATCACATTTAAACCGATCACGAAATGAAGGATATAGAAATAATAGTAACAAAAGTAACATTACAAGTGAACATCAGAATACAAGACCTAGAAGGAATTCTACATCCAATAATTATTCCAATAAAGTATGTACAAACTGTAATGCTAAAAGACAGAAACCACAGTGTGAAAATAAAAATAATAATTCATGTCCAACTTACATAGAGCCTAAAAAAAATAAAACAAGAATGCAAGAATGCAATAATAAACCTAATAGAAATATGAATAATTTAGCAATGCCAAAATTGAATTGCAAAAGAAACGATTCAAGGTTCATTTCTAGATACTGTGATAACTCAAATAATTGGGATATAGATGTCGATAATTATTCTAAGTTTTTAAAGAATTTTACATCACAAGACCAATCAATACCACGTAGATCGTCGTTAAAAAATACACCTAACTTTCATTATCAAAGTTCATCAACAGAACTATACGAAAGCGACAATTCAAGTGACTGGTCTAATGAAATCCCCATGGATCATTTACCTGCTGCGTCGTTCAACTCTTATAATAGCTCCAATTCTCCTTCAACGTTGACAGCTTTAGGTTCAAGATATAATCCAATTCCACGACAATCTACTCTCAATGATGACCGGCTAATAACTTCTAGTCAAAATTACCAAGATATAGAAAAATTTAATTTACCATATTTGAATACTAATGAGTATTCAAGAAACAGCATTGGAAATTACGATTTGACGAACAAAGAAATTCCACAACAATCTGCTCTCAACGACGACTGGCCAACAACTTCTGATCAAAATTATCAAGACATAGACGAATTTAATTTACCGTATATAAGTATTGATAATTATTCAAGAAACCACATTGAAAATACTGGTAGTCCTCATGCAATCTACCAACAGCAACAATTACGAGATTGGTCGTTCCGTGAATCAGATATAGAGAATACAAGTATGTCAGAACTCAGTTATGACACTACATTTTCGAATACTAGTGAATCAATGGATAATGTTTGTTATGATCATGTAAGAAGTAACTATCGAAGCAATTTAAAAAACTGATACTGCTGTGAAAACAATTATAAAAAAAAATTACTGCATTATGATCTGCTTTTATTTTTTGAACACTAAGTGCAACTTATCATGAACTTCCTGTTAAATTTGTAGGTATTTCTGTAGATCTAACAATTATATCTAATTATTACCTAGGTACTAAATAAAAACTAGGTAAAAACACGCAAATACAAAATGCATAAAAATAGATCGAAACCTATAGAAAATTTACCAGTCCAGAAAAGGCAAATATAAGGATTCTTTCAATATTTTTAATCTCTAGGAATGTTTTTAACTTAATAAAAAAAAATCGTAATTGAAAATAATAAAACAATTCTTTTCAAACTTTCCCGTTCTTTCTACGTTTATTTCGGTTTTGCTCAACTATTTAAAAAAAAAAAGATGTCTTGGGATAATATAGATGGGTACAGCCACTGTTATTGATAATGTAATGTATTTATGTAAGCAACGATAAAAACCAAAACCAAAAAAGGCCGGAAAATGAAAACTGATAAATTTATGTTATGTTTTCATAATTTTAAATTTGCATTCTTTATGTTTTCTATGAAAAATGACAAAAAACGTTAGTGGTTGCATTTTTAATCTAATTTTTGAGTAAAAAAGTCAATTTTTGATTTTCTTTATAGGTTTTTTTTAACAATTCAACAAAACCAATATAAACGTAGAGAAAACGAGAAAGTTTACAAAAATAATGGTTTTTATTATTTTTGATTTTGATTTTTAGGTTCTGAGAGGAATAAGGATTGTATTGGTTTTACAATGATGTTTATTTTTATTTTATTTGTCTATGAACTACTTTTCTCCCGAAAATGTTGCTCTATTTTACAATATTATCACTAAACTACTGTTGCGATAAAGAACTACCATGCGGTGATTGTGATTATTATTGAATATTAATTGTTTTCACAGTTTTTTTCTTAAAATTAAAACAGCTATTACTAAGAAAATATTCATCGGATATGAATACGTGGTAAATTAAAATGTTTATAATAATACCTTTTACAAAATGGCTATTTTTAAAATGTTGTAAAGTGAATAAATACATATTTGTTATGTGTGTGTTTAGGGGATGAAAATAAAAATTTAATTATTTTTGCAATTGATGTCTCCCTCAAAAGCAAACCGATTGAAAAAAAAACTGAAAAATATTTAATATTAATAGTTATAGAAAAATCCATTGAACAGGGTAGGATACACATTATAATGTAAATTAACATTATTGAGTTATTTAGCGAGTATAATATCCGTATAATAACAGAACTTCAAAAAACTATAATTTCAAAAATAAATCAGTCCGCACAATTCTAACTTCACACTCGTTCTAAAATCGACAATATACATTAATTCGAAACAAAAAAAATTTACATGGACCAGTAGCGAGATTTGTTCCGCATCATTTTTTACTCAAACGATTTTCGTCAACATTTGATATTAAAATTCCTTTATAAAAAAGAATACAAATTGCAAAATATCAACATTTTTTTTTTGAACAAAAAGAACGGCATTTAAGAAACCTTTTGTTCAATTGTCAAGCATTTTTGTTTAGTCTAGCAACTTTATCCACAGAGTATCTACCGAATAAAAATTACGTACAAAACTAGCATAATCAAAATGTTTATAATTAGCTCAAAAATGGATCTAATGTTTAAAAAAAGCAAATATAAGTATCCTGTCAAAATGTCAAGTCTTAATGAAAATAAAAAAACTAAATTGAAAATAATAAGAATTATTTTCGTACATTTTCCAGTACTTTTTGCATTTTTATGGAGGTTTTCCCAATTATTATAAAAAATATTTTAGATATTTAAAAACGATTTACTCTTTTAATAACAAAATGTTTATAGGAACAAAATCGATATCATGTAATTTTTCGATTGAAGTAATATTTTTGGTAGAAAACTTAAGTATACCATGATGAAAATGGTAACGCCACGACACGCCGTTAATATTTACCGTTTTACCTATAATTTTCTTTCAAGTTTTTCCAATTATTTGAAAAACCTCTTAGAAAATCAAAAAAATTACGTCTTCATTGCATTAACTAGAAAAAAAAATCTTTCAGAAAAGATGCTATAGTCTATAATAGTCGGAGAATGTTTTCTGGTATTTGTTCACAGACAAAAAATACAAAAACACACATCTTAGTAAAACTAATAGATTCCTCGCTACGCTTCGAATCTAAAATTAAACAAATAATGTAAGTCCCAAACCTTGTTTACTAATAATAATTATGTCTATTATTTGTGTTCTAAAATATTTAACTACTCAGAATTTTAAACGATTTTTAAAATTTATTTCGTTCTAAAAATACGTAAACTATCAGCAAGAACATACTTTACAGAATAATTTAAAATATGAGCCCTAATTTATAGGTTTCGTTGATATTATACGTGCAGGATGTTTTGGAGTTTTTTATAACTCATAGTGTCTAATGTCTATTATAATCCAATATTAAATTACCCGGCACACAAATAATCATATAAAAATATAAAAAGTGAACAACAGCGGTCACTAACTATATTATAATTGGTAGGTGGTCTAAAATAATATTCAAATTATAAATACGTACTTACCTATAATATACTGTATTACGCACACTCATATGAAGCAATTTCAAGAACAATATAAAATCCAAAACAAAAAACTGCCTTATCAATAACTAAGCATAAAAAAAAGCCGCATACCCGATCGATAATGTATTAATAATAATATAATGATACGTTTCATATTTACGTTGTCTTTGTGGGACACAGGGGTTGTTATTATCTTGATGTCTTCCTCCGAGAATACAGTTAGTGATGACAAATGTTTTCAAATACATGAACATTGTACAGTCCAAAAGAGCTCACATTATAGCGTCATAACCATTTAAACAAAATCGATCAGAATTAATTATAATTTCCTTCTGATCGTCGGAGAAAACATGATATATTTTAATTTATAATCATATCACCATAAAGGTAGGCAATTAAATGAACTCGAAGATCGTTCGCCGTTTACTGGGACCGATAGATTAATTTAATATTCTAGAAAGTGCGTATAGCTTTCTGATCGGTCACCTTAGTTAAATCTAATAACAATGCCATTATGTTTTCAATGTCTTTATTTTTTTTTTTTTCTAAACTGTATAATATTACAATATACTAAAGAAAGAAATCGAACCAATGACATTGTTTATGCAGTTATTACTTCATACAAATATATATATATATAGTATATATCATAGGCAGACTATTTTTCACGAGTGTGTTGCATTCACATTAACTTAACTTGAAAATCACTAAACTTAAAAATATAAATACTTAATGAAAAATATAATTGAGTCTAAGAGTTCCGTATAGATAACTAATGGGAAATACACCAATCAAAAATTATACACTAAATTCTAGTGTCTAGATCATCATAATGTACTAGAATCGAGAAAAAGAGGTTCACGGTGAGCCACTAAAAAATAGAGTCAAAATAATATAACAAAAACTTAAAGAAAGACTCACTTGATTAACAAAAACAATTTAAATTCCATAAATGTATATTATATTATAATCGTTATTCATTGTGTTAATTTGCATATTATTTTACCGTTTATCTTGTATTGCAACTAAGGTGTAATAATCAATAATTGAACTGCAAAGACGACAGTATAGTCAGTTTGAAAAGAGGTGTTAGTAGATCATTAGATAGCCACTAGTTAAACAATTTATGAACAAATTTAAGCTTGTGTTAGTTTGAATTTTATTTTTAAAACTTTTTATGTTTAAGAAATATGATGGACACTGGGGAGCCGATCTATTGTCATGGGACATTACAGAGAGTACAAAAATCTGCCACAACTATTCATAATACACTTAAAAAATAATTGTGGGTAAACGGCGAGTCATTGAGGGAAAATGATTTCCCTTGTAGATTTTCAACATTTAATACAATATGTGACCTTAAGTCCAAAAGAAAATATTATTAAAATCTGATAACAAAATAGAGGATCCTAACTTACATCCATTCATAAAATTGCATAAACAAGATAATCCGATTCTTCTATTAATTAACTTTAAAACTGCTCCAGCTTATAATCTTGCTAAATATTTAGACTCTCTCATAAAAGAAAAATTAAACATGGATACTGAGACTTCTATAAAAAAAATTCTTATGATTTTATTGAAAAAATTAATAAAAATAATATTGAGCCAGTTTACAAAATTATTTCTTTTGACGACAAAATGTATATATGTATCTATTCCTTAACACGAAACAGCAAATGTTTAAAAAATAAACTTATTTATAGTAATAAATTCAATACAAATGAAGTACAAGAAATTGTTCAATGAATAAATATAATTATTAATCAAAACTATTTAATGATCAATTATACTCGTAAAAAGAAGGATTAGTTATGGATGGTCCTTTAAGTGATTTTTTATCTGAAATTTACATGCGAAATTATGAAACCAATAAAATTATTAACAAGATATACAGTCCATATATAAAAGTATATTACAGATATGTTGATGACAATTTAATTTTATTAAGAGGTTCAAATAGACAAGCAGAAAATATAGTTAACTACTTAAACAAAATAAATAAAAACATTCAATTTATACTCGAAATACAAATTAATAATAAATTAAATTTCTTAAATCTTACTGTTTCCATAATGAAGAATAAATTTGATTTTAGTATTTACAGACTGATGCTATATACCACATGATTCACATCACAATTATTCTCAAAAAATATTTGTTTAATTCAATATTCTATAGGAATATGGAATAAACGTATTCCATTAAATAAACATAATTATCAACACGAATTCAATATTATCTATAATATAGCCCATAGAAACAATTTCAATTTAAATAATATAAAAAAAATGCATAAACGTATTAAAGAAAAAATAATACACAACACACAAAAAAATATTTTTAACTATTGTAGTATGAAATATCAAAATAATATGTCTAACGAATTCGCTAAAATTTTGAACAATAATACAA